AAAAAATTTCTATTATTCTGTGAGATAGTGAGAAGAAGAGAGCATCACTTCCGTGAGTCATCTCTTTTAACCCTCAGCTGAGGACATTTTCCCATTAATTTTTAGGGAGAGAGAGGGAAAGACACAGAGAGAAACATTAATGTGAGAGAAATACATCGATTGGTTGCCTCCTGCCGAAGCCCTGAGCAGGGTCCAAGCCAGTGAGGAGCTTGCAAACAGGGTACGTGACCTTGACTGGAATCGACCAAAGGATCCTGGGTTCTATCTGTTGAGCCAAACTGACTAGAGCTGTGAATCGTATCTTCACCTCACAGCCTAGTGATTTCTTTCAATATTTGAGTCATCTAAACATCTGTGATATACATAGAAAAGGAAAGCTAAAATTGACAAAATCCTAAACTTGACTGAATGCCATGAGCTTATTTTTAAAGTCTGTCATCTATCAAGGTAAACTTTCTTACAAGTATGTATTCTTAAAACATAGAGTATAAGGCACTGCCTATAAGATTCAACAATATTTATAGTATAATTTAAAAATCTTAAAGGCTGAGGTAGTTCCCTAGAAACAGAATATATTAGTAAACTCATAATGAGAAGAATAATCAGAGATCTAAAGTTTTGAGGTCAAAGGAGAAAAGTCCTTATCACCCTTTATTTTCCATTATTCTCATTTTCTACTCTTTTCTCCCCATGTCCCTCTTAAACTTTACTTCTTTTTCACATTGTCTGTATCTCACTTTAGATTTCTCTTCCCTTTCTTGCCCTCACAAATCCTTTACTCCCTTAACTTAGTAATTGAGAAAATGCGTGTGAGTTTTTACAATTATATGATCTTGCCTTTAAATATTTGCTTCTGGTTCTTAAACTCTGCATCCTAGTCTAGTAGAATATTGTAGGCAACTGGAAAATCCATGTTGAGCCTTAGGTCTGCTACTACTTATTTTTGTGATCATGGGCAAATACTTTTCAAAAGAAAAAAATTAAAAGTACTCTTACAAAATTTAGACACATAGCTAACTAGTATAATAAACTATAGCTATAACATTATACAGTATACAGTAGGTTCTTTTAAGTTTTTTCCACATACTAAAACAAGTGCAAAATTAAAATAGATAAGGTTACCCAAGACATTCACCTTATGGTTCAAATTGTTTCCACTTTATTTTACTCGAAGGAACCGCTGAGCTAAAGCCAGCCCTGTTTCCACTTTATTTTAAAGCTAACTTGTTCTAATTAGGCTAGAAAGGTAACCTTTGCATTTACTTTATGGGCTATGCAAGTCTCCTTTAATGCAAAGCCTCCCTCCCCCTTTTCCTTGCAATTTGCTAAACAAAACAAAGTTTTTTACCCTGTAAAATTGCCCATTCTGGACTCTCTGGACTGCATCCCATGGAGGCCCCTAACATGTTTCTCTATGCTGGGTATTTCTCATTATCAGACAGATCTGAGGGCTTGAATAGATGCAGTTTTGTTGTTTTTCTGGGAAGAAACCTCATAGGTGGTGCTGGGTGCTTTTTTTTTCACTTGGTTGTACTGGAAAGCACATCAAGATTGACTAATAAATTCAGGTCTTGACCTCCTGATCATTTTCAATTAATAATGTTTGTATCTATTGATAATCATTGCCTAGCTCTTGTCAATTAAGAATTGCAAATGAGCAACATTTTAACAACACTCCTTCTGCATTTATTAATCGGAAAAAATCTACATATCCCACAGATTTGTTTTCCCCTTCAATTATCTCATTACTTGGGGTAAGGTATATAAATGCTTCTTTTCTCTATTTTTTTTTTAAAGATATCGAACCTGGGACCTTTCAGTCCGCAGACCGATGCTCTACCACTGAGCCAAACCGGTTTTGGCTAAATGCTTCTTTCTCTCTCAGATACCAGTTTTTAGAGTAATTCCTCAATATCCTTCCAAAGATGATTAAATTTGTTAATTTCTTATTGCTATTATCATTTTGAATGCATAATTAAATATTTAAACTATTACAATCCATTTTTTATCATGCTTATTCATCATCAAATACTTAATACTTACAGTTGCTTTTTAGATACCACCATTGGTATTTGAGTTTTTCTGTTTTAGTGATATTGAGGTATTACTGTTAATTATTTAGATGTGAAATATATTGTGGTTTTGTTGGAGGAGAGACTGCCTAATGTATAAAACACTCAATTCAAGTATCTTAGATTTTCTTAAACTAAGCTGGAGGCAAGTAAGTTGAGGTATAGAAACAAGTTTGGCTACATGTTTTGGAGTTAGTATTAACAAAGACTGATGAACAAAGTTACACTATTGTTCCTTATATTATTATTTTGTATAAATTTGAAAAATTCTATGATATAGTTTAATACCATTTTAGTGATAAAAGTTAAAAATGTCATGATTACAGAAAAAACTACACGCACACAGATAGTTTCTGAAAATTATATAAAAATACATATAGGGGAAAAAATAACATCTATTCAACCTCACTTTCCACTCAAGAAAAATTTGGGTATTTGATGTTAAGAGATTATTTGACAAGTGTGATTCTTAAAGTATTCTTTATTAAGAGCATTAAAGTTGCAAAAACAACTTTACATTGTAAAGGCACGGGGAGACAATTCTGGTAAATTATTCAAATTAAACAGTAACTTACAGTACAAAAGACAACTTTAATGCATATAAAAACCCCAAATGTCTGATTCAAAAATATTTTACTGTATCTATTAATGGGCAATGATTAAAAATATAAATTGCTGCTATATATTAAATATCTGATAGTGAATATCTTGATAGCAAAGTGAACAAAAATTTATTGCTTTTCACATACATAATTTTCCCTGTTAAACTCCTTTTACTATCTTCTCAACTTTCTGAAGAAAATTCCACATAACTTTACAAGAAATTACAGTTTTACAAAACTCCCTCATGCAACTATGATTGCTGGCAGCTGTTTCTCACTTCCTATTCTGCAATCACAATCACTTCCCAAAAGTAAGATAAATGTTTGCTAAGCCACAGAAAGACCACCTTTCTGTGACTGGCATTCTAAGATTGGTAATGAAGACTTATCAAATATAAAAGGTGCTCCGTTTTGAAAATGTATTATTTTGTTTGAAGTTTTGAGTGAAAGGCTTGAATGTCTGACAAGTAATTTTACCTATTCCCTTCAAAAGTTTTCCTAAGTTGTAAAACGTCAGCATAGTAAAATTTCTAGCACTGAATGTTTGAAGGCTAGTCGATATATGTAATGTACTGATGTGTAAAAGTTAATACATTGCAACCTATTTTACAATGAAGAAATCTTACCCTTCTTCCAGTTTTAAACTAGAATTACCTTTATTAAGAACATCCTGCTCTTTTTATAGCAACCCAGTTATAGAAGGTACAAGTAGACTTTCCATCACAATAATAAAATAACATGAAAGCAGCAGCATCCTAATTTAAGAAAAACCTACATAAAAATATTTGATCATCATTATAAAGTTACTTAACCATGTCATATTCAGACAATGTGTGGAAGCTAGTAATATGCCTAGCACAGAGCTGAGGCTCAATAAATAATTGCTAAATGCATGAAAAACAGAAGAAAAACCTGGCTTTGGCTGTGCATATTTTAATCACTTTCTAATTAATAAATAATGTCAGTTAGAACTAGAACTAAAATTAAATACTGCACCCTACACCAAACTTTGCCATACACAAAGCAATGATTTCAAACAAAAAAAAATATATCAGTTAATGATAGTCATTATATATCAATTATAACTTTTTAAGAGAGCCCACAAATTTCACATATTTGTTAATTTTTACATACTTAATTTTTTATGTTTAACAATTGAGTAATGAAGACCATGTTGGGCAAACTGGATACAGTATTATTAGTCCATCCATTAATAAAAGTCATGAGGCCTGATTAGACTCAAATGGTCACACCATGTTCATTTTTGCAAAACTACCAATGAATAAAAGTTAGAATACCTTTAAGTAGCCTATGCTGGGAAGCAGTAGCTTAAATTTTCAAGATAAAAAATAACCATAGATATTTGAATTTAATAATGACTATGAACATATTATAAACAGGGCCAATTTAAAATTCAAACCATAGGAATAGATCTAATAATTCTTTGGCATATGCATTACTATCTTAGACTAGTTAGCATTTAAAAAATATTGGGGTTATATTTTCCTGTCAAAATTAACATCAAGATGAAAATTACTAACATACTGTTCTTAAAGCTTTTTAAAGGACAAAATGACATTTAGCAACATTTGCCAACTTCATGTTTAGTGTACACTTCTAATTACTGGCACAGAGTGATATAACTGTTAAATAACCTTAAATGAGCTCATGCAATGATGAAAACACAGAAAGTGGGAAGAAAAGTATTTACATAATAAAATATTCAGCTTCCTGAAAAAACACAGTAAACCTAGAAATCCTCCCCTAACAGTTAACATGTACTGCATAGCACTGAATTAAAACTAGTTCAAATTTAAATGAATATCTACAGTAACCTGCATGTGTAAGATTGAAGGAAAAACATAAAAATAGGAAAAAAAATTAGGAAGGAAAAAGTAGCCTATAAAACAGGCCAATCTAATGTGACATTCAAAGTAAATGTAAGAGATTCACAAAATCATGATACTAATGCAAACTAAGTCAAGTATACCAAGTACCCTTTGATACACAAGCCAATGTAACTATCAGATTCATTTCTAATAGCTTAACAATATTCATTAATGCACTCAGGCATTCAAGCGGGCAAAGCAGTCAAGGATAGCTCAATTTTCCAAAGAGTAAGAACAAAAAGACCTGCAAAAGAATCATATGTTTTTTGAAGTAATGTCTTATTTTGATGAATGTTAACATGAAATGTATCAGTGCACGTTTGTCATCCTTTGAAAGTATTACTTCCAAGTTTTCTTTTTTCTAGATAGTTTTTGGTGGTTTAGCATTAGCCAGTGCTATTTAAATGGAGGAAAAAAAAAAAAAAGTTCCCCATAGACTACCTCACATTGTTACTCAATTGTGCTAGATATTCACGCAGTTCTTTTGCAGCCTGGAATCTGCCGTAGCGTTTCTTTGGGTTGGCGCACTCATCCAGCAAGGCCTCTAGCCGGCCTTCTTTGGCAATTTCACTTGGTGGATCGTGAAGGAGTCCTCCAGATGTGCCACGCCAGGTGGCATGTCTGGATAAGAGGTTCTGACAAACAGCATAATAATTGTGGTCCACAGTGGCACGAGCACAAAGAATTTCTTTTGAGAATGATAAGCAAGCCTCCTTATCACAATCATCAAATTTACTTTCATACCATACATCCCAATTTTCAGGTTTATCTGTAAAAAAAGGAAAAGCAAAAAGAGGAAAATACATTTTAAGAGTTTTTATTGATTCCCCAAATTTGACAATACCCTAATTAACATAGTATTTGTTCTTAAAATTGCATTATCATTTTAAACATTTAAGTATATTAATTTACATAAAGATTTATTGGGAGCACATCCGTGCCAACCAGAAGATCAAACAAGGCACCTATTACTGAAGAATTCAGTCTAGAGGGAAAACTTCTATTATATAAAGTGGCATACATTAGTATGGCACAAGAATACAGAGGAAGCACTACTTCTGTCTGGGGTTGTAGAAGGCTACAGAGAGAACATCTGATTTAGGCCTTAAAATATAAGCAAGCCTTAAAAAAAAAGAGAATTCTAGGCACAGGGTACAGCATGTGGGAAGGCATGGACCTAAGGGACTGGTCCAGCTAGTTCAGGAAATTGTTAAGTTCTCACCTGAGAATGTGAGACAGGTACCTGGGAAGGAGGTATAGCAGAGGCTAGAGAATTAAGTTCTACATTGCGTGGTCAAGACCATGATTTGTTTTACAGAAAGATATCTCTAGGCTGAAGACTGGAGGTAGTAACATGATGACAGCAACTAAAGGAGGTCCAGAAAGAAAGAAAAGAAAGAAAAGAAAGAAAAGAAAGAAAAGAAAGAAAAGAAAGAAAGAAAGAAGAAAAGAAAAGCCAGGTTGTAGAAACATTTGAGACAAAAATTAATAGGTAAGTGTATGAGTAAAGTTTAAGTCCTAATTAGATGAAAACCTAGACATATTAACATAACAGTGTTAATATTTTATAATATAAAATAAATATAAAGTAGTTATGAGATATTTAGGTGGGAACATATAACATATGCAACTGAAGCCAAAAGGACAGAACACATATTTAGATTGCATCAGCATAAATATTTGATGGAGCAAAGAGAATGGCTTAATTGTATTGAAAATACATTGAAAACAAAGGGGGGAAAAAGACTGATGATAGAACATTAAAACTTAAAGGGGTAGAGATATTAGTGAAAGAAACTCATTCATTCAGCAAGTAATTAATTATGTGGAACTCTTTTCTATGGCAATCAGGGTGTACAATGGTAAAAAAAAAAAATCATATACAAGGCTCCTATCCTCACTGGCTTACAATCCCGTATGTGAAATAGAAACTAAGCAAGTACATAAACATTATCATAAATTGTAGGAAATGCTATGAAGGAAAGCAGTAGAAAGACTTATGAAAAAAACAACCTTCTTTACTGGTAGATATAGCAGTCAAGTCAAGTCTCTCTTAGAGTTAACATTTAAGCTAAAGCTTGAAGGACAAGTACCTAGCAGCATATAGAAGAGAGATGTGGCATTTTAGGCAGAGAAAACTGCATATGGGGAACCCAGAAGTGGAAAGGTTCATTCAAGAAACCAAAAGGCCACTCTGGCTAAGGCATCAAGGGCAACAATGGTCAGAGGGATATTAAAAATGAAGCAGAATAAGGTCAAGTTATACAGATCATGCCCTGGGGAGGAATTTAAATTTTACTTGAAGAACAATGGGAAGTATTAAGCAAGGAAATGATAAAATCAGATTTATGTTTTTAAAAAGGAACTATGTAATTAGAAGGAAACCAAAGGATAAAGAATTTCATAAAGTTTTTACTAATCAGTGAATTCAGGAATTGGCCAATTAGGTGGTCGCTAATGGCAATGCAGATTTCTAAGAGAGGTTTTAATGGTTGAGGAATGAATAGAGACTCAGGAAGATTTTTAAAACAGTTGAAAAGCAACAAACTTGCTTATGGGAAGGTAAGAGAAACTGGATTTTAAGGAGGGTAGAAAGTTAAAGAAGATAGCTGATGCTAAGATAGGTTCTCAAAGAAAGCTCTTTACTGTGTCTGAAGAGGGATGAGTATGTATTGTTTTTACTGCTTAGAAGGTACTAGTAAAAGGGTGCCACATCAAAACCTCCATTTCCTCGTGAAGGATAAAAATACAGGCAATTTACTACAAAGAGCTCAAGAAAGAGGGTAAATAGATATAGCCATTTGCAAAGTGGCTATTCGACATCCTACAAGAGCCTTTTGAAAAGAAGTAGGTATGCCTAAAAAAGCATAGGAGTAATGCTCTTTGTATGAAAGGTAAGAATAGAGAAGCTGTAGGATTGTATTCATTCCAAGTCAGGAATTAGTTTGTATTATATAAAACTGTAACATGTATACCAAGAATGCTTACATCAAGAATTTTATTTTTATTTTTTATTTTTTTATTTTAGCCCTGGCCAGTGTGGTTAAGTTGGCTGTAGTGTCATCCTTTACATTGAAATGTGGTGGGTTCGATTCCTGATTGGGGCACATTTCGGAGGCAGCCAATCAATGTTTCTTTCTCACATCAATGTTTCTCTCTCTCTCTCTCTCTCTCTCTCTCTCTCTCTCTCTCTCTCTCTTTCTCTCTCCCCTCCCCCCCTTCCTCTCTCTAGGATCAATTAAAAAAATTATTTTTACAAACATTGGAATGAATACTTTAAGGCCAGTTGTACAACTCTGTGAATATAATAAAAACCACTGACTTGTGTACTTTAAAAAATAAAAGCATGGTGCAAGCTGCTGATGTATTCACACATGCAGGAGAAGAAAGTGGGAATGAAGCCTCCAGCAGGGTGTCCATCCCCTGTGGGTGGATCTACAGGGCAGTCAGGATACAACCAGGAACTAGTCTGAGTGTTGAACAGAAAAAGAAACTGGGAAACCCAATAGTATTTAACAGAATCAAGCTAGGATCATGCAGGAGTGTCAACTTAATAGATTGCTGTTACATTCACTGCATTCTCCAGGTGCCACAAATGTTGGTCTCTGTAAATGAGAAGATCCTCATATAAAGGGAGAGGAGGAAATTAAAAATATTAAGACTCTCACCATGAAGCAATAACCCCTCAATTTCTCTTTACTAAGTAGATTAATTATAGAACTACAGGTATTGTCCCCAATGTTTTAAAATTCAAATGGCATTCAATTTTAAAAACATTTGCTTGTGTCATTTGCAGTTCTTATAAGTGTATTTCTAGTATCACATGAGCTCACTCATCTAGGAGAAATAATGAACAACATAGACTGATGAACAAGAATAGCATCGATCAAACTGTTGGACCTCAGAGGGAAGGTAGGGGAGAGTGGGGATAAGTGAGAGATCAACCAAAGGATTTGTGTGCATGCATATGAACCTACACAGTAGTCACGGACAACAGGGGGGTGAGGGCATGTGTGGGAAGGGGTTTGGGATGGGAATGGCATAATGGGGACAAATATATGATACCATAATCAATAAAGTAATTAAAATAATACAACAACAACAACAACAACTTTTCAGACACTCTGCCCACCTACACTTTGAAGAGTTCACAAAAAATGGAGAGTAAAGTTTGGGTGAGGTGTAATAATATCAAACCAAAGCTAAAGATTTACAGTGCTAATAAAAAGAAAACAAATCACTGTAGGGACCCCATAGAACAATGGAATGTAGAGTATCTTGGGAAAGTAAGGTATTCCAAGAGCAGCACAGCCTTTCTGGGAGCCTGTTAGTATATAAAACTTAATTTTGCATTAGACTCCTAATGCTCATGAAACAGCAGTCTGTGTGAAAAAGACATGTGTACATGTACACTCAGAGTGTATCTGACTGAACCAACAGGATATTTTACTAAATATGAAGGCTGTGGCTAAGAACATGTATAATAAATCAGTATTTGTTTACTGATACTGGTCAAATAAAACAATGAAAGATGTAAGGTTACCATCTAAGAAGAAAATGAAAGACTTCCTTCATATAAATGTAAACATTATTTTGATACAGGAAAAAAACAAATACAAAAACAAATCTGAAAGTTATATACTTACTTTGTCTAATTAACCTTTTGTCAGCAACCAAAACATTTTCAGCATCCACAATGATTACCTTCCCATCTCTAGGACCAACTGCAAAATTGTCAAAGCTGACGTCCAGGAGGTAGAGTGCAAATTCAAAGTCATTGTTAGTAAGCTGCTCTGCTATTTCCATTAATTGCCAAGCCAGGTCAACTCGTTTTTCCCATGGTGCATTAAAGTAGCTCCACAGTTCTTCTCCAACATAATTTACAGCCACCATTCTTCCACAAGCTCCAAGATACTTTGCAAATGGCCAACCTTCATCAGATGGAAAGCTCTACAAAAGAATTATCTTAATATTATAAGCGATTCTGATGAAGATATCCTAAATCTATTCCCAGATTGTCTTAGTAGAGATTGATACTAGACATGAGCTCGGATTTTCTTATTGTAGTTCAGCAAAGAGAATGTCATTTCTTTTCTAACTCCTACTGAAGTATGGTAGCAATCATCTCAGGTAGAAACTGCAGTTTTTAACTATAACTTTAACCTTGCTATTTGGCTTCTGTACTTATTTCCTTGCAAAAACAATAGAAAAGTTATTTTTATTTTCTGAACTTCTGTCTGCTATCCCAATCAACCGAATACTCCATTGATGGTGGCTTGAATATCCCATTGATTGTGATCTCACTGGTTATCAAAGCACATTCTTCTGGGAACAGGACAGCTCAATTACCCTAAATTGTCTCAGTAACTACAGATAATGAGTTTCGGTTGACTCAGTGGCCCCAGTATCTGGACAGCACAATTATTCTAAATTGCCTCAGTGGCTCCAAATAATGTGTTTCTGTTGATTCAGTGATCCATAGACCCAAAACTATACTTAATTTTTATAGATAACTGGCTCAATTTCACTTCTGTAACTGCTTTGTACAAACCAGGTTCCTCATTCCAAACCCAAAGATGTAATCAACATTTTTGTGATATTCTGCCAATTTAAGAAATATGTGACGACCTGTTTGGGGCTGTGAGATCTGGAGCATGTTGCCCCTCATAGCCACCGGCCTTTAATAAATGACTCCATAATTCGACTTTTTGAGGCATCCTTTGTGAGACTCAGGGCACAATACCTTTACTATGGTTCTGAAAAAAAAATTTAATAGCTTTACATTATAAAGCTAAAAAAAGTATTGCTTATTAAAATCTCAGTGCAAATTGACCAAACAACAAAACAAGACACTTTCTTTATTAGCAAATTTAAAGTTATTTTATGTTTCCTTTATCTTTTTAATTTATGTAAGGACAATCAACCAATCCTTTCTTTTGAATGGACAGCACTGCAGGTCTATTAGTCAGCATTATTTACCACACACCAAGCACTAGGCACTGTGCTTCAGCTGGCAATAACAGTGAACAAAACAGTCTCTAAAATAAAGATGTTAGAAGAGAAGACAGATACCAAACAAATAATCTATCCTATATAATAAAAGGGTAATATGCAAATTCACCTTAAGAGCAGAAAGACCAGAACTACTGCTGGACCAGTCATTATGAGGGGCGCTGACACCATAGACTGGTAGATATGATGTGCACTGACCACTAGGTGGCAGACACTCCTACTGGTAGGTTAGCTTGCTGCTGCAGACCAGCTGATGGGGACTGGGTAATATGGGCCAGACACGCCCTGAAGCCATCCCAAAGTCTTCCTGGCCCTATCGTGCACCAGGCCTGTAGTTATGAATATAATAAGTGTTAGTTTCTGAGAAGTGGTGCAGGTTCTGGGGATGGAATTGAGAGGATTCTGGGAAATGTCTTTCTCTATTCCAAGTCTCTTTAGTACAGTTACTCTTCTTTCCCTTATACTATATTTCCTGTTCACCTTCAGGCCGACTTTGACATTATTTATTCTCCTATCTTAGCAAGGTTTTCTAGCAGATTTTATTATAACTAATGGGAGGATTAATGTCCTAAAACAGAAACCTTCCATGATCATGAACAATTATTTTCAAATTAAATAATAGGCTTTATCTGAGGTACTTTCTAGTGCTAAAATGCCCACCAACAAAAGGATGGGAAGTAATATTTTAAAGAACTTCTTGAAAAATCATATGACCAGAGGAGGTATGTTTTATTTGTTTGTTCGTTTTTTAAATATATTTTTATTGATTTCAGAGAGGAAGGGAGAGGGAGAGATAGAAACTTTTATCAATGATGATAAGATAATCATTGATTGGCTGCCTCCTACACAGTCCCTACTGGGGATCGAGCCTACAACCTGGGTATGTGCCCTTGCCTGGACTCAAACTCGGGACTCTTCAGTCTACAGGCCAATGCTCTAACCATTAGGCAAACCAGCTATATTAAGGTATGTTTTAATAGCCATTCCTTCAGCCTAACACCTATCTTAAATTGGAAAAAAAATATCTGAGAAAATGATGTTTATACAAGTACTGCACAGAAAACACTGCAAAATATCGATAGAAATGTGCCTATTTCTATTGATAAACATTAAACAATCCACATATGTTAAGAGAGCTGGAGATGAGGCTTTTCTTCTTGAACTTCTTTTTTTTTAAAATATATTTTATTGATTTTGTACAGAGAGGAAGGGCGAGAGATAGAGAGTTAGAAACATCGATGGGAGAGAGTCATTGATCAGCTGGCTCTTGCACACCCGCTACTGGGGATATGCCCTTGACCGGAATCGAACCTTCAGTCCCCAAGCCGACGCTCTATCCATTGAGCCAAACCGGTTTCGGCTCTTCTTGAACTTCTTAAGAAAATAAGTAATATTACTTTTTGCCTTAGCTTTTATAAGATTGACAAAACTTAACAGTTTTACATTAAAATTTTTATCAACTTTAAAACAAAAAGATTTTAAAAACTCAACTGCATCCAAATAATTACCTAGTTTCATTTGTGTTTCTTTTCCATTCTATCAGCACACAACTATTTTTATATATAACTTTATTTTAAACATCTTCATTTTTGTGATAAAACACTAATTATATAAATTAAAAGTTTAGATATGACAATTTGAATCTTTAAATATAGTAGCTAAATTGATTTAATTTCTGTTCAGAGAAAATACTTAGTGATTCTTTAGCAATAAGGAGAAAACACATTTTTAATCTTATACCTGAGGATTTTCTTTTTTTAGGGCATTGTGAAAAGTGACAGATTGCTTCCTATCTCATGTGAAGTGTAAAAACTGTTTGTTAACCACATTATTTTCAACTTTCCCCCCCCAACTTAATTATTTACATGACCTTGAAACTTTAGTTAGACAAAATGTTTACAAAAGATTTAACTGTTTTCCAGAAGTATTCATGTATAAAGTCGCTAGCATAAAAAATAAAATCAAGAAAAGTAAATATATATTATACAGTTTTAACAAGCAAAAAAGTAAAACAAAGCACTCCTCCATATAATTTTGTTGTATTATTCAGATGTCATATTGTAAAACAGATTATAAACATATCTTTGTGAAAACAAAATGGCCTTTGACAACAGAAAAAGGGAACCCTGCCAACATCTGCACATGTACAAATGTCTCCTTGTTTATGGAGCCTTTCTAACTGGCAAAACACATTTAAATATACACTTCATTACCAAAGTCTCAGATAGAAGAAGATAAAATATATGAATAAATGTCACACTGAGCAACTTTATATTCATATTAGAGACCCAGTGCATGAAATTCATGCATGAGTAGGGTTCCTAAACCTAACTGGCTATCAGGGCCTTCTGGCTACTGGCCAGGGCCTTTCTTTCAGCTGCCAGCCAGGGGCCTTCCTTCCCCAGCAACCTGCCGGGACCGTCCTTCAATCTGCTCCACCCCCTGGTGGTCAGTGCACATCATAGTGAGCGATAGAACTCCGAGTCTCCCAGTCAAACTCCCAAGGGGACACTATGCATATTAGCCTTTTATATATATATATAGATAGATAGATAGATAGATAGATAGATAGTGATCTCTGATAATGTTAACTGAAATCCTGTTACTCGTTTTCAGAAGTGTACTACAATTCTTCCATATAGTTTGCCACTTAAATCTTTTAGAAGAACTTTAATAAATGAATTTGCACTACTTGCTCAATTGACAATGAATACAATGAATTATTCATTGAATAATTATACAATTATTCATTGTATAATCAAAATCACCAGACTTCATTAATAAGAACAGAATTCGCCGAAACCGGTTTGGCTCAGTGGTAGAGCATCGGTCTGAGGACGGAAAGGTCCCAGGTTTGATTCCGGTCAAGGGCATGTACATTGGTTGCAGGCACATCCCCGGTGGGGGGTGTGCAAGAGGCAGCTGGTCAATGTTTCTCTCATGGATGTTTCTAGCTCTCTATCTCTCTCCCTTCCTCTCTGTAAAAAATCAATAAAATATATTAAAAAAAAAAAATAAGAACAGAATTCTACTAAAAACATATGTAGTGCAAAGAAAATGCTTAAAGGAAGCCTATGTAAGTGTAATTATACTAGGGGCCCAGTGCACAAATTTGTGTGCCTTGAAAGAAACTGTGGGCCGTGAGGCTGCGGTAGGCACAGGGACAGGTCTCGGCCCATCCTCCATGCCCCCACCTAGGCCATCCCACTATGGCCCCGGTCCTATCTGCCGGCAGCCTTGCTCCCTCTGCCGTTGCTCCCTTGTGCTGACAGCGCCGGCCCTGCTTGCATCTGCTGACGGCACAGAGCTATTGGAGCTGGCACCAGCTGCTGCTGCCCTGATCACCCCTCAGGAGCTGGGGGAGGTGGCAATCAAGCCATCAGGGGAGCAGTTAGAGATGATCAGGCTGGCAGGCAGAAGCAGTTAGGGGCAATCAGGCAGGCGAGCGGTTAGGACAGGTGTCGGCAACCTATGGCTCCAGAGCCGCATGCAGCTCTTTTGAAGCTTTACTGCAGCTCGACAACTTGCAAGCCTGTGTGAAAATGAAGGTAACGTCTTACAGCCCTGATGTGTAGACACTGCACTCAGGTTCATGAGCAAAAATCCCATTAACCAGGTAAATTAATATTTTAATTAGCTATTAATTTGCAAAAATATATTTTACATTGTTAAGTGAAAAAGTCCTTTTTTCTGAAAAAGTCCTTTTTAACTGCTCCCCTGATGGCTTGATTGCCCCTTACCAGCTCTGTCTTGGTCCTGCACCTGGAACTCAGGATTCCCTCCTCCAACTGACCACAGGCACCTGGGATCTGGGCTTCCCTCCCTCTGGTGAGCCATAGATGCCCAGGCCTGCTGCAGCCTTAGGTGATTGTGGACAGGTGGCTTCACCAGGTGCCCGGGACCGTGGGATGGGTGGCTTCTCTGTCTCCCAGGCCACA